GAGACTCAGAAATGCCTGACCAGTCCACTGTAGGCTCTGGTTTCAGCGGCTATTGTTTTTGTTGGGACCTTTTAAAGGAATTGGTCCCACCTAGTCCAATGGGTCCCTAGTCACTGATGCTTTCTGGTCTGGATCCTTGCACACAACATGGCTGTGCCCAGGTGTGGCCTCTCAAGGTTACTTCTCTTTAGGTTATATCCACATACTCAATCATTGTGTCCTGTATTACCTTGTGACATCTGTGCCAGGGTAACTGGAGCCAGAGGAATTTGTCACCAGTCCAGACATCCCTTTCTTTATGGTGGGTTATCGGACCTTGGTATCTTTTCCTGCTGGTGGATGTCACTGGGAACCATTCTAATTCGTTTGAGAAATTCTGCAACAATTAATTTTAAAAAGGTAGTGGCCAAGGTCACCTTCCCTTCCAGGAGGCTTTTTAAGTCCACTGTGCAAATTTAGCCTCCCATTCAAGTGACTCTTCCAGGAACAAAGAAGGTCTGCCAGGGAACTTTTTGATGTTATTCAGACAGTAATGTCTGATACCTTCTCTTGCTAAATAAGTTAAAAAAAAAAGTTCTGTTTCATCAGACACAGCCACATATGCACAAAGCACTTAGCATGCCCTGTCACCCAGTAAGTACTAAGAAAATTAGTTCTCTCCCTTCCTCCATTTCTTCTTAGCTCTACCACACCTCTGAGTTATCCAAGTTGGGGACATGTAGCTTTTCAGACACCTAACCCACTCCTAAGTGCCCATTTCTCTGCTTGGCTCTGTGTAAATACACTACAGATGGTTCTGGGATGCCTTCTGACAGGCTCGCCAAGCTCAGTGCAAATGTTGGCTTGTTCTCAGGCAAAAACAAGAGTTGATGGCAATGGGTCATCATGCTGACCTCTGGTGGCTTCTAGCAAGGTTCCACCTTCAGAGCTGCTTTTAGGGTGTGTTGGCCTAAGGTGGTTTATACGTTCTTCAAATAGTTAGATTTTATTTTACATTTGTATTCAACTTGCATTTTGACACAGTAAACATGCTCATTTTGTCGTGGAAAAGAATTTGCTAATCCAAAAATGAACAATGCATAGTTAGTATTTGTCTTCAGATTGGTGGAGGCATTTATAAAGTGTGCCTTGTCACTAACTTTGCCCCACACATAACCTTTCTGCTCTCTGTGAGAAAGGGTGTGGCTTCTGTGTTTTTGGAGGTTTAGTTTCACAGAATCATATTTTCCTTGTCTGGTTTCACCAGCAGTGCCTGGTTAGAAAACACAGAGGGGCCCCTGGGCCATTGCAGTCAGTTGCTGACCTCAGCCCCAGTTTTCAGACTCCAGACAAGGTCATTACTATAGTCCCTTGCAGAATTCTCAGACCTCACCAGGAGGCCCAGGGGTGTGGCATTACAAAGCCAACGCTATTTTTCAAAAGACAGTGACAGCTCCCTTGAATCATTTTGAGTATAGAAATGAGTTTCCACATGTTTCATGAGACATAATCAGGTGCTTACTATCATATTATTCTTAGAGGTGTTTAATTGTTGACTTTAAACATACATTCTAATAGAAATAGAAAGAAGAAAAGCTGAGACTAATTCTGGAGCTCTCTTGAAATATCCTCACTCCCTCCTAACATGTCCTTAATTGGCATCCTGTTGCTTTAATATTTTCAGCAGAAATGCTGTGACACAGGGCTTTGGCTTAGCTGCCTTTGTTTTTCTGTATTTAGGTTTTATCTCTACAAAACATAGCCATCTTGGCGCAGGAGCATTCGAGTCGGCAGCTGCAAGGCGACACCACTGAACTTTGGGAAGTTATGTCTTGGCATTTAACCTACTTTCCTGGAACACAATGTGATGCTGACGACATAGCCCAGTGACTCCACTTGACAATAAGTTTGCTTGTCTCACTTCACTTGAATACTCTGTGGTAAGAACAGAAGAGGAGAGCCTTACTTACCACCGTTTATTATATGTTTCGTGCCTGTGTTAATTGCTTTTATAATGCCATTCGTAAAGAAATTGATCAGATTAGGATGAATCACCGGGCTGGCCAATAGCTATTGGAATGATTCTCCACGTGTGACTTTGTTGCATTATTACAAAACGTGGCAGGATAGACCTGCCCAGCCATCGCGGCAGGTGTTCATTTGTAATGCTGTCTTAAGGAGCTGAGGAGATGAGAACAAACTGTTCCAGCAGCGCAGGCTGCCCTGCCAACAGTTCGGAGGAGGAGCTGCCAGTGGGGCTGAAGGTACCTGGGAACTTGGAACTCGTTTTCACAGTGATGTCAGTCGTGATGATGGGCCTGCTCATGTTCTCGTTGGGGTGCTCTGTGGAGCTCCAGAAGCTATGGTCGCACATCAGGAGACCCTGGGGCATTGCTGTAGGACTGCTGTGCCAGTTTGGGCTCATGCCTCTTATAGCCTATCTCCTGGCCACCAGCTTTTCTCTGAAGCCTGTGAAAGCTATTGCTGTGCTCATCATGGGGTGCTGTCCCGGGGGAAACATCTCTAACATCTTCACCTTCTGGGTTGATGGAGATATGGATCTCAGGTAAGTTCCACTGGGGAATCTCAGCGCTCTTCCCTTGAGAGCACTTTGCCTTAGGGGGAGGGGTAACGGATACTTTTCATGTTGAACACAATGCCAGTTTTTAGGTAGAGATCCTAGTAGGAAACGTTTTACAGAGACATGTTCAGTCCTGGAAGGACTTGCCTTTCTGAGCTTAAAATTGTCTTTGCTGTGATTGTCCTCTGACTGATGACTACTTTTCTGAGTAGTGGGGTTTGCTTCCTATGTAATAGTGGAGGCAGGTCTTCTCACCCAATGGCCCTTCCGAGGTATTAACTCATTCTCACCCACACTGGCAGCTTTAACAACATTCCTGGCTTCACAATCTCCCAGGACTTCGTCTGAGAATCCCAGGAAGCTAATGACAGTGGTTTGGAAGCTGGTGATGGTGGCGGTGGTCATGGTGGCATAACCAGAATGGTGCCCTTGTAACTGTAATCAGCAAGTGTTGCCTGAGCACCAGCTTTATGAAATCAGTATTTTGGGGGAATGGATGGAGGAGCTTTAGGGGTACGTGATTGACATATCTTGCTTTAAGTGCCGGTGGTGGCCTATTGAGTTCACGTGGGCAGTAACAAAAAGAATTAGGACTAAAAATGCTCTTTCTTGTTGCTTTTCAGATGCTTAACATTCATCAGTAGAATCCCGTTCCTTTCATTTAAGCCAGTGACCTTATTCCCAATTATAGTGTAAACAAATATGTCTGGAAGACATTAGGCTTTATCACTCATTTATGCTTTAATGAGGATAAATTAATCCCATATTTTTTGGAGTACATGTTTTGATGAGGGGAAAAAGGGCATTTGAGGAACGATAAGGAAAATGAAACTGGGAAAATGAAAGCACTAAAAACAGTGGTTTTTCTAGATTCTTTGCTTACTTATGAAAAAAATTGTTTCACTTCTTCCCCAGAGAGAGAACTACTTATAAATTTAAATCTTTGTTTGATGTGTATGTCATTTAGTTGAGATTTATTATTCGATGAATGAATGAATCAGAAGTGCTGACTGGGCTGGGAGTTCACGTCAATGAGTCAGCTGCAGGTATGGGTTTCTAGTTTCCTGCTGTGCTAAATGTGTAACATGTGGAACATATTTCACCTATAAATTTTAATGAGTGCAGACCAATAATTAATTTTCATATGGCACATGTTTTTAGTTAGCCACTTATCAGAGATTTGAAAAGTATCACTTGATGCATTGCTTATTCAAAATAAAGCCCCACTAATATGCATGGCTAATTCAAATTCAATAAAGTTGATCATTAACATAATAATTGGGAAATGATCCATATTCTTTACACAAAGTCCTTATGTCAGCCATAAATACTGGGACCTGAAAGTTTTTGGAAAGAAATAGGAAACATACTTACTGAGTACCCGGATAGGAATGAAGTAGATGCTTTCACATATTCTCTTTGTCTTCTTTCTTGGCTCTACATAATAACCTTGTCCATGACCTTTAATTATTCTGGATTTTACCACTGAGAAAATGGTGACTCACATGGGTTAAATAGGCTGTTGAATGCTACAAATGAGTAAGCAGGACTCAGATTTGAATTCACATCTGTTTCTCATCAAGCTGTAGTTCAGGCCCTTTCTCCTATGCCATTTACTAACACACTAGATCTTCTGTTCTGAGTAGGAGCGTAAATCTTCAACAGTGTTCTCAACTACTTCTGTTCTGGGAAAGAGAACATTTATTACCTTCATCTCTTATTAGCCACACTTGTAATAAAAACACCAATGACTAGGAAGTCTATAAAAGGTAAAAGTCATTTTACTTCCCTTAATTACCCTTTAACTTTGGTCAAATTATTTAACCTATAAACCTCGTCTCCTCATTTGTAAAATGGGGTTAAAATTACCTACTCATCACCACAAGACTATATTTTAAGGAGGATGACAGGCACATAGTGGGTATGCAATAAATATTAGCTACTTTTCCCTTTTTCTTTAAAAATTTTGACTTTGAGTTTAATAAAAACAACACAAAAAACAACCAAAAATATCTGTAAGAAATGACATTGTAAAATGGGGGCTAAATATTCGATTTTCAAAAGCTTATAGATACAAGAGTAATAAACTCTTAACTCTCAGTAAAAATTTGCAAAAAGGGGAAAATTCAGTATTATTGAGTGAAATAACATCCAAGTTCACTATGTTTCTTCCCCCTGGATTGCCAACAAAGAAAAACTTTTCAGCAAAACTCAGTAGATTGTCATGAATAGGAATGCTGTTTTTCATGCTGGATAAAATTTGGAAGCATTTAGGACAACATCTTCATTTTACAAATGAGGAAATTGAGGTTTAGCTCTCTGCAGATGACCCCAAGCATGTTTCTCATGCTTTAACTCTGTGTTCATTCAAGCTACTTGGAGCTCTCCACATGTTCACCCTAAACAGGCCATTTCAGAATCAACATGTTGGAACCAGTTTCTGTGTTCTGCGTATCTGATGATGATCCCAGTCACCTGGGCTCATTTTAGCTTTCCCCTGTGACTCTCTTCACTCTTTACCTGGTTCACTCAACCTGCTGTCTAGTCCTGTAGCCCACCCTCTTCCATGTCACCCATAGCTATTGCTTCCTATCTATTCCCACTGCCATTACCTCAGGTCAGGCTCTCATAATGTCTTTTTTGGCCAGTTGCTATATCTTTACAATGTTTTCTCCACCTTCACCCTCTCCATAATGGTTTTGTAGTAAGTGGATAAGGCAATCTCTGGAGTCAGGTTGCCTATATATAAATCCTGACTTGGGACCTCTTTTCTGTAACTGGAAAGCATAGTACTTCCTTTATGGTATTGTGAGGAGAAAATGAACATGTGACACATATAAAGGCTGCTCAACACCTACTAAATTGGGTATAAACTAAACCTGGTGTAACCTACTTCTCCAGGTTTATTTCTCATTAACCCTTTAAGCACAGCTGCTCTACAGTTAAAAGGGGCTGCTCATAGTCACTGTTTTCTAAACACACCCCACACTTTTCCAACTTTCATTTGCCCATGTTGTTCCCACAGCCTGGAATGCCAACTGGTTTGATTCGAGCCCCTCAAGTCATAATGTCATCCTTCATTATATCTATTTTGAAAAACAATTGGCCCATATGTATGGAGAACCTAAAAAATTATCCTGCCCCTGGATTGAGCTCAGCTGTTGCTGGCTGGACTCTCTCACATGTTTGGGGACTGGCTAAATGTAGACGGGTCTTAGGTGGCCTTGGCTGGGACAAGAGGGATCTCCTCTCCATGCTTTCTAATTCTCCAGCAGGCTCGCCTAGACCTGAGCACATGACCGTGACAGGGTTCTGAAAAAGAGGAAGCATACAAGATCTTTGGAGACCCAGGCTTGGAACCAGTTTACCATCACTTTCATTGGCATTCTATTGGCCAGTGCAGATTACAAGGCCAGCCTGGATTCAAGGAATAGAGGAGTAGATTATGTCTTTTGATGGGATAAGCTGCAAAGTCACATTGCAGAGGGCAAGGATAAGAGAGGAGTGAATATTTGGGGACATTTTTGCAATCTACTATACTAAGGATGGGCAGGATTCTTGCCTTGGAGGGTAGGACATGAAAACTAAGATCTGGCAGTATAGTGTAGTGGTTAAGTGCACCACTCCAGAGCCAGTAAGTAGACCCATCACTTATTAACTGGTCATCTCAGCACACTATGTAAATTCTCTATGCCTCAGTTTCCTCACTTCTAAAATAGGGAGAATCTGAAACATAACCTACCTCATGGGTGGTTGTGAGGATTGAATGAGTATGAGTGTGTGTGTGTGTGTGTGTGTGTGTGTGTGTGTGTGTGTGTATAATGCTTAGAATCTCACCTGGCACAAAATGCTATATGAGTTATTATTATTATGGTTACTATTATATGAGGTAGGCAGAAGAGCATTGGGTCAGGGGTCTCTGTTTTAGTCTCTGCTCTTTAGTTCCTTTGAGCAATTTACCTCTCTGGACCTCAGTTTCCTCATTTGTAAAGTCAATGGGTTATATTTTCTGAGGTCCTTTATTTCTATTATAGTAAAATGTATATAGCAAAATGTACGATTTTAACCATTTTTAAGTGTAAAGTTCGGTGGCATTAAGTATATTCACATTGTTGTACAACCATCGCCACCATCCATCTTTAGGACTTTTTCATCCTCCCAAACTGAAACTCTGTATCCATTAAACAATAACACCCTCTTCTCTCCAGGCCCTGGCAACTACCATTCTGCTTTCAATCCCTAAATCTGACTACTCCAGGTATCTCATATAAGTACAACCATAAAATATTTGTCCTTTTATGTCTGGTTTATTTCACTTAACACAATGCCTTCAAAGTGCATCCATGCTGTATTGTGGCATGTGTCAAATTTCCTTTTTAAAAAAAGGCCGAATTATCCATTGTATGTATACAGCACATTTTGTTTATCCATTCATCTGTTGATGGACATTTGAGTTGTTTCCATCTTTTGACTGTTGCGAATAATGCTGCTATATGAACATGGGCTGTGCACATATCTGTTGGAGTCCCTGCTTTCAATTCTTTTGAGTAGAAAGGATTAGATGTCCTCTTAAATATCTTGTGACAATAGGAAAAGAAAAGCAAATTGTATAGTCTAAGTGTCTCCCTCTCCCCACCCCAGTTTTGAATGTTTTCCCTGAAACCATGTGACAGAGATGCCTCTCCTCTCTATCCCCATAGTGCCAAATGTAATTCTTTCTTGACATCTGTTGGAGAATGTTGCAATAGTTGGGCTACTTATCCGTTCCACCCACAAAGTCTGTAAACTCCTTGAGGGCTTGTTCACTCTGGGTGCTCAGTGCCAGCCTGGTGATGGAAGGTGCTTGATAAACGCTGAGTGAATGACTGAAGAGAAGTTTCTGACTGCCTGTGTGTGTTACATAAAAACTGCTCTTGAAATGCAATCAGTTTACTGGTGCTACTCAGGACCGCTCCCATGTCTTCAGTTTGACAACTTCTGATCTA